AAAACAACTCAGAGTGCATCCTTTTCCCCACAAGCTAAGCCCGCAGTGGGAAAGGCTTATGATTGTTCTGAATGTGGAAATGGTTTTAGTAGAGGCTCTTACCTTGTTTGGCATTAGCATCCACACGGGAAAGAAGTCTCATAAAGGTGGTGAGTGTGGGAAGGGCCTCAGTGAGTGCTCTGACCTCAGTGCCCATCAGCAAACTCACTGGAGAGGCCCCTTCAGTATGAGCAAACCTTCAACCAGAGCTCCAGCCTCACTGTGCCACAGAAGATGCATATTGGGGAGAGACCTTATCAGTACACTGTCTGTAGGAAGAGCTTCGGCAACTCCCAGAACAGTGCTCATGACATGGCCATGCTACATGGAGCCCCATTGTTGGGTGCACTGTAGATGAAGCTTCCATAGCTACTCCCACTTGAGGGAAGAGCCTCCAGTGTGCTGTCTGTGAGAGAAGTTCCACTGAGAGTAGTACACTCATCTGCCTTCAGGCAGTGCACACAGAAGAGTTGCTACATTACAGGAAGGAAGATATTACCTCACAGATTCACAGATTCCTCAGGCTAGGCATTTCCTAGAGCTGCCTTCTGCTTTTGGAGAGGTCTAGCCATCCCTGACTTAACGGTAGACCTGCTATAACTAGACCTTCAGAACCACCTCCAGGAACAAGAATCAGGATAAGGATGTTAGCCTATTCTGCAGACACCTGGCTGAAAATGAGGCTATTTGACAAGGAGAAGGCTGTAGTTTTTGTAAGGCCTGTCAGGAAACCAGAGCCTCCCTGTGGTCTGGAAGTTGTCTGAGAGCTGTACCTGGCCAGGTTACTATGGCAAAAATAGCCCACACGGGGCTAAGAAAGGGCTTCCCTCATAGGGAGCAAGCCAGAAGTTAAAAGCCTGGATCTCTTTTAAACCAGTATTTGACCTCAAAGCACTCAGGGTTATAAACTGCTGCTACCTTCAGGGCAGAAGATCACTGCTCTTTGTAGCTTAGTACCACCAAAAAAGGAACAAGGGCAAGGAAGGCAGTCTAAGGGATTGGATGATACTGATTAGTTAGGGGATGAGGCAGAAGATATCAAGGATAACCTTTGGATTTCTTGTTTAAAGAGGGTGCCAAGTGGAAGGAGATGCCTTTTACCAAGATGGAAATGATACTAAAAGAGCAGGTATTGGGGAGAAAATTCAGAGGTTCAGTTTTTGATACTTTGCAGTTAGAAAATGCACAAGAAACTCAAATGGTGCAGACTAAGGCCACAGGACTTACATTCTATGGCTCAGATGAGAAACCAGATGGGAAACCATCTTCATAGGGTATTTAAAGCTGAGAGTAAGAAAATCGCGATGTGATTACAAGTGTGGTCTGTGAACCTCTTGCATGAGTATGACCCTCAGGTGTTGGTTATAGAAAACTTAGGCTGTCCCATATACACACAATTTCTGGGGGGGGGGAATTCCAATAATTTGTATTTGGAATAAACTTTTAAAATGATCTCTATGCCTATTTAATTTTTAGGATCCTTGGCTGAGTGAGAAATGGAGGACCTAAAACTGAAGCCTGAGAAATAACAAGAGGCATGGAAGAAGAGCATTATCTGAAAAGGAGAAGGAAAGGCAGAGGGCGAGGACACTGGAATGTCAAGAGAATGGAGAATTTCAAGGTGGGGGGGAGTGATCAACTGGGCTTGAGGTTCTTTTTTTTCTTCTTCTTTTTTCTTTTTTTCTTTTTTCTTTTTTTTCATATTTATTTTTTTTAGTTTTTGGCGGACACAACATCTTTGTTGTATGTGGTGCAGAGGATCGTGCTACCACTTGAGCCACAGCCCCAGCCCTGGGCTAGAGGTTCTTGAGATGTCAAATGATTTGGGGACCAAGAAAAGTTTATTGGATTTTTCATCCCAGAGATCAATGGACCCCTCAACAAGAGTAACAGTGAAACAGTGGTAGCAGAAGCCAGATTAGAGAAGACAAGACAGAGAGGGGAACATGTGGAGAGAKGAGATTGTAGCTACAAGGAAATGTGAGTTCAAGAGTAGTTTTTAAAAACCTAAGAGATATCAGCATGTTTGAATAATGTTTCAGGAAATCAATACAAATACAAACTCAGACTTTCCACTGGTTGGGTTATTGATGGCATGCAGGCAGCCCAACCTCTGATARCCCCAGAGGACCCAGGCAGGAGAATGTGCCCTTCTGTCTGGACATCTAGTGGCTGCTGGGGACGGGTACTACCAGCTAACAGAAAAACTTGAAGAATTTCATTCAAAACACAGAACTGACACACAAGGGCCTTCCAAAACTACCATGGAATGAGCCTTTCTGAAGAGATGGCCAGAGAAAACAACAAATCCAGATCAAGAACAGAGCTGCCTCAACCTTACAGCTGTACCCCCACCTTACCTGCTACTGATTCTGGTCTGAAAGAACTATGAGGTCATGTCTGTGATGTCACAGACACTGACAAACTTTCATCTCTGGACACCCTCTGCTTCTCTTTCCAGCCTGAGACTTTGTGTCTCACCATTCCTCAAAGTAGTTGGGGTCTCCTTTAAAGCCCTATGGTCTGCAAGATCCTAAGTATGATTCCTGGCTCTTCTCTTGGAAAAATTCCTGGGGATGGGGCTTCATTAGCTTCAGTTGGAGCACAGCAACACCCTCCTCCATCACTGCAGGGTTGCTATTCTTGGAGCTCACACATTATTGTCTGAATACAAAAACCCCATCACTGATACCCTGCTTCACCCCTACAGATCACCGTGTGGACTCAGGACAGAAGTATGGGAATAGAGATCTCTGGAAAGCCAAAGCTAAAACACTGAATGAGAAATCAGGTATGTGCAGCTGGGTAAAACAGGACCAGATGGAAAGTCATATCCCAGTGCCACAACTACCACTGGCAAGAGAGCACAACAGAGTCCTGTTTGCTCAGAGCAGTGAGGGAGTCTGTGCAGCCCCACCCTGAGCTTCTGAGCTCTGTTATATATGCAGCATACCCCAGTCCTGCTGGTCCCACTCTGGCCATCTCTTGATAACAAATCTAGCTGTATTAATCTGTTTAGAGAAGTGTCCCCTTCACATTGAGGCTGTTTTAGTCAGATTTTTCACTGCTGTGACTAAATGATCTGACCAGAACAACTGTAGAACAGGAAAGGTTTATTTACAGCTCACAGTTTCAGAAGTTGTAGTCCATAGAAGGCCAGCTCTATTCCTCGGAGCTCGAGGTGAGGCAGAACATCATGGCAGAAGAGTGTGTCAGAGGGAAGCAGCTCACATGGATTCAGGAAGCAGAAATAAAAAGAGTCTCCACTTGCCAGATACAAATATATACCCCCCAAWCCAGGACCCAATTCCTACCTTCTCCAGCCACACCCCACCACTTCAGTAACCACTCAGTTAATCCCTATCAGGGGATTAATTCACAAATTGGGTTAAGACTCTTTTTTTAATATTTATTTTTTAGTTGAGGTTGTACACAACACCTTTATTTTTTATTTATTTTTATGAGGTGCTGAGGATTGAACCCAGGGCCTCACACATGCTAGGAGAGTGCACTACTGATGAGCCACAACCTGAGCCCTTGGTTAAAGACTCTTACAACAGAATCATTTCTCCTCTGAACTTTCTTGCATTGTCTCACACCATGAGCTTCTGGGGGATATTTAAACCATAATAGAGGACTTAACTAAAATTCCTCTGTCTTGCTGTGCATTGCGAACCATCACAAAGCAAGCACTTCAAGAACCAGAAGATTTTCATTCAGAGCTGGCTCAGTTGAATATAACTTGAAGAGGAAAAAGTTTGTGTTCTACAGGGGATATGTGTCTCTCTTCATTACTGAGGAGGAGAGACCTACTGAAAGCTTAGTGTTTGGTGAGAACATCCAGTCTTGCCTTTGGCCCACTCTCCTGGAAAGGAAAAACAGCATTCTCTTAGGAAGGCTGACATGGACACCAGCTGGGGAAAAAAAGAAGTGATAAAGAAGGAAGAGCAACAAAATCAAGATTTTCCACCTGTTCCCACTGCCTGTCCCATACCCAAGCCCATTACAACCTACTATCCATTTTCTCTGACCATACTCCCTTACCCTCCCACTGCCTTGATGCAGTGGCACATGCATGTAATCCCAGCCACTCGGGAGGCTGAGGCAGAAGGACCACAAGTTTGAGGCCAGCTCTGGCAACATAAAGAGACCCTATCTCAAAACAAAAAATTAAAAGGAGGGGCTGGGGATACAGCTCACTTGGTAGAGTGCCTGCCTTGTATGCACAAGGCCCTGAGTTCAATCCCCAGCACCCCCCAAATAAATAAAAATAAAAAGGACTGGAGATGGGACTGGGGGTCCCATCTCAGTAGGAGAGCAGGAGAGCACTTGCGAGCATATTCAAGGCCCTGGGTTCAATTCCTAGCACCACCAGAAAAGTGGTGGGGTCTGGAGATGTAACTTAGTGGTAAAACACCCCTGAGTTCAATCCCCAATACAAAAACAAACCCAAAAAAAACCATTACTTTGGTCCCCCAGGTTCTCAGTCCAAATCCTGTACCAAGGTCGCTGCTTTCTGGGTGATGCTCCATCACTCAGACCCAGCTTGAATCTCCCTGTGTAGGATGGTCAGGAATTGCTTTAGCTCCAGAGTTCTCTCCTGAGTGCAATGTCAGCTGTTGCCTTTAACAACAGAGCTCTCAGAGTTGGTGGAAGACCCTGAGAAGCCCAGATATTTGCTACAGTCTGGAGGGCTGATGGGAGATCTCCAAATTGCCAATCCCTTTGAGAGAGGTTAGCTTTACCATTAACCACCTGAGAGACTACAAGGATAGGTGAGGGGTTCAACTGCATAAGCTGATCTGCAGCTCAAAATTCAGTTCCTACAACTCTGAAGAATCACCTCCAGCTAGGTCTCTCAGATAAAATCTTTGCTCTGGAAAAGAGGTCATGTGATAATTTGTTTCTCTTCATTTCCTCACTCTAAAAAAGAACTAAAGAATGTAAAGTTTTCTCATCACATTCATAAAGGCTCTGACCTCATSAATGAATTAATCCATTGATAACTGAATAGACTACTGGGAGGTGGTGAAAGGGGGACATAATTAAAGGAGTGAATCTTGAAGATGTGCCCTTATGGACTGTATCTGTCCCTGGCCTCTTCCTCTCTGTATCTCTAGCTAACATGAGCTGAGAAGTTTTCCTCCACCACATCCTGCAGCCAATTATTTTCTACCTTACTTCAGGCCACAGCAATGGAGTTGGATGACTATAGAATGAAAATTCTTAGCTGAAAACAAATGTTTTCTCCTCAAAGTTGTTTTTCTGTTATTTGTCACAGTGATGAAAAGCTAATGCAGAGGCAAAATTGGTCTTTGCTTGAGATGTCTCTGACATCTGTACCCCTTCCATTTCCACTACTATCATTTTAAGGCAGGGCATMTAAAACAGCACGACTGATATTTGGGGTAAGATAGACCTTAGGTTGGGGTAGGTGGGCAACCTGTTTTGAAAGATATTTGGTTACATCCCTGACCACCGCCCACTAGATGCCAGTAGCACCATCCCAGTGATGACTAAAATTATCTCCAGACATTGGCAATGTCTGGGAATATCCTCTGTGGGGCAAAATCGCCCCTGGTAGAGAATCCCTGGTCTAGAAAAAGATTAACGTCTTCACCCACCAAGTTTTTCCTGCCTGAAACACTCTTTCCCCAAGTCCTAATTCATTCTTTCCAYAGATAGTGAATACTAGGAATGGCTGTTCTCCACCCCTCCCAACCAGGAAAGAACACCTGAGCCTAGACCTTACAAATGTAGAAGAAAATTCTATGTCCTCAAGAGGGGCACCAAGAAAACGAGAGGATGAGGATTTGTAACAAAGCCACCTCCACCTTCTTGAAGCCTCCAGATCCTTCGAAGCCTCGCCCCTGCCCGGTACTCTCAAGGGCGCTTTATCTGCACACACCTAATACCAGAACTGGTTTCGGGAGGGTTTATCTACCGCTCTCTGAGGGCAAGTAGCTTCTATGTAGTCCCCTTGCAAGAAGGCTTCGGTGACGCCACGCCTCCCAGATAGAAGGCCCAGTTGTCTCCGCCACCGAGGTTTTGCGTCCCGGGACCCAGGAGTTGACAGCAACGGGGCAGAGGGCGAAGACACAGCCCTTAAATACACGCGCCACGAAAAGCCCTGCCCAGCGAGACTCACCTAGCACGCCGGAAGCTACCGCGGGCACACCGGAAGTTGCCGCGCGGCACGGCGGGATCAGAGGGCCGAGACGCATGCGCACAGGCCAGGTCCGAAAGCTCGCCTTCAAGGACCGCCCCCTTCCTCCTGGTTTCCGCCCTCTGCTAATCGACTTGGGTTCTCACCCGTGAGGGTCCTTCTCTCATACTCTGGGACCAATCATAACGTCCGAGAACCCCTCCGTGCGTCCTCGGGGGCACCGGTTGTGAGGCGCTTCCCCTTGTCGCTTGTGTTAGCCGGCGACGCGAGGCTCACGACCTGGTTTCACGGACGAGGTGGTGAAACTGTGCTGACACCTCGGAGCTTTCTGTGCTGGACGCAGAGCCTCACACCCCGCGACCTCAACCCCGCCCAACAGCCGGGACGTCGGTACTGGAGCTGCTTTAGCCCTCCAAACGAGGAAACCGAGGCAGAGTTCAGAGGACTTTCTAACGATAGAAGAAGGGTTAAAATTCATTTCTGATCTACTTTATTCCTAAGATGTTTTTGTTTTTTAAATATTACGTTAGAACCACAAAACATTCTTGATCGGTAGAAAAGCTGGGGATCAGCAGGAACGATGGGAGGTCCCAGGGATACAGTTTCCCAGGGAGAGGAAATCAGTTTTCTGAAGAAGCAGGGTGTACAGTCAGCCTCTCAAGAGAACAGGATGTCAGCCCTGATCACAGGGCGCCCACAGACATAAGGACAGAACAAGTACCACCCCCCACCCCCATTTCCCCACATACAGAACAGACCTTAAACATAAACCGATCAGTAGATATCCCCATTGAGCAAAGCAAGAAAACCAACGTACCACCTTGGTTGGTCTCAATTAGGTTCTCAGGCCTGACAAAACCAGAAACTGAAGGATGTGTAGACAGGACCTCCGGGGAACACAGATGTCATTCTCACTCTGGAGACTGAGCAGTGTCCATGCTGAATGTAATTTCATTTTAAATAAATCTTTGGGGTGTGTGTGTGTGGGGGGGAACATGTCTATGCTATCAGTAATTTGCCTGCTCAGGACACAAGAAACTGAGGGACCTGCTTCTTCCTGCAACATTCCTAGTCTTCCAATGCAGTTCTCACAAATAAATCAGCTTCATAACTTACCTCCAGAAGTGCATTCCTGCCCTAGACCCTAGAGAAAATAACTATGATAACTATATCTTTCTTAACTAAATATATATAATCTATGCGGTGTCTTAATTTTTTTCTGATTCTGTATGTCCACCTCATATTCTAAAACTGCATTTAGGCCTGTACCACAATATATGTTCAGTCTTCAATCATTTCCCTTTTGATGGACATTCAAATGCTCTTCTGCTTTTCATGTATCTCTTATTCTGAATTGGGATTTTCTGGACTTATTTTGAAGAGGATTGGGATTTGGAGTGCAAGTGAAAGAGTGGAGGACAATATTAAGACTTCTAAATATGGTTTTCTGCCGTCATTTTTGCTCCTCTTCATCCATCTATGGTTTATAAAGCTAGTGGTAGCACAAAGAGCAATAATCCATCAGAATATAGACTGAGGCAAGTGGGATGTGAAATGGACTGATAAAGTATTTCATCTTTGATTAAACATAGCATGGAGAGGGTTCCCAAGTATGTTTATTTAAGGAGCTGGTTGCAGATTGGTTTTAGGGACAGCCTATGGTCACTACACTGCCATCTGCTGGCCCTTCCAATAATCAGTGGTAAAGCAAATACTCAAATATTTCTACTCCCCGTGTCATGACTTTTTAAGTTACCTTGCTGCCTTCTATTCAGATGGTAAGCTAGTAGATGGCTGCATTGACAGGAAAGAGAGGGAAAGAGCCTTTGTGTGGGGACAAGAAAGGACATACTGTGCTTTTGATGGCCATAGTTCTGCATCTCTGAACCACCTAGAAGCTTCTTCAGTGTACCCCTAAGGGTTTTGCTCCTCATGCTGTCCATGAGAGTATGAAACATGGGTGTAACCAATAAGAATAGAGAGTTTGATCTGATCAAGGAAGTAGTTGTTCTTATGCTAGATTTAGTCAGAGGTGACTGTCCCAAGGAAAGACCACTACCACATTGTGGGACCTGCATGTTCCAAAGTCTGTGCTCCTATTTGTCCTTGTAAGATCAGATCTTCAGTCATCTAAGGCAATGTAGCCATAGGTGACAGGGATCAAGCCAATTGAAACCAGTAAAAAGATCTACAATGAACAAACCAAGTAAGGAAATGGCCACAGTGCTTGTTAGGACTAGGTCTCTAAAGCCACACACTATCATTTCTATTTTTTTTTTTAGAAGTCAGTTACAATATTTAGTTCACAGGGGTAGAGGAATTGGGCTCTACCTTAGGAAGAGAGGCATAGTATCAAAGAACTCAAAGGCCCATTTTAAAACACCCATAACTTGGTACCTTATTATTGTTGCTAARATTGTCTTGTCATCAAGGAAATCCACACTTTTGCTCTTTCTCCCAACTGTCTGGACTGGCTCCCACTGATTCATACATACATCTGGACCTCAACCTTCACACTTTATCTTAATAATCTTTTTAGTTCAGTGTGGTTTTTTTTGTGGTACAAGGGCTTGCACCCAGAGGTGATCTACCACTGAGCCATATGCCCAGCCCTTTTTATTTGTTATTTTCAAACAGGTCGCACTAAATTACTGAGGCTGGCTTCAAACTTGTGATCCTCCTGCCTCTGCCTCCTGAGTCGCTGGGACTCCAGGAGTACACCACCTCACCCAACTAGATGGCTTTCTTGATCATCCTAATGCTTACCCTCTTGAACCACTGGGTTCAAGTTAATGTTGAGAAGACGTCTACCATCCACATCACTCAATTTGCTCAAATCTACCCTATTTTCTCTGTGCTTCTCATTTTTCATATTCTAAAATACCTATTCCAAGAAAATGTCTGAAGAAAAGTGGTGCTTTCTTCTTATTTTTCCACTACACCAATTTTCTTCTCTACCTCACACATGAGGTTTATTATAAATATAGTTATTAAGTTTATTATAGAATGTATACATTTTGCTTGTGAAAGGATTACAAAAATTTCCCTGGCTTTTTTTTCTCAGCCATCATGGTGTGTGCACTTGACTTTGTTCCTTGCTTTGTCTTCTCAGAAGACATTTCAGATTAAACAATTCCCAGCCAATAAACAAAAGCAAAATTGCCCCTTCTCTAATGGATTCAGAAAAAAACTAGTAAAAAACCAGRAACAACTCCAAGCAGAGTCTTTGGAAAAGAACCAGGCTGCATCTACAAGGAATTGCACATGAAATGGCATACATCTTTATGCTGCATTGAGGTCACTAACATTTTACTGGATTAATCTGAAAGTGATACCACTGCCTGGAAAGTTGGACATATTTTTTGTGGGGGCGGGGGATCTGATTTCTTTTGTTTCTATGCTCTGTCCCAGTAAGTTGATTGAGTAATAAATATGTGAAAACTTTTAAAATGTCACCCTATATGTACTTCACATTAAATTATGTCCTTGGCGTTACCTCAGTGCCCTTACAATGTTGGAGATGGAAATAGGGAGAAAGTAAAAGATGGTGCAAATGGGAAGAGCAACCTGGAGAACAGGTTGCAGAGTCAGGATGGAGCTCAGTCAGGAGCCCTGCATGAACAGTGTTGGTTGGGGGGTTGTTTATTTCTCACCAACTCCTTTATTCTAACCTCTCCTAATAACAACCATGGAATTCAAGAAAGGGGCTGACTCTCTCTTTTCGTTGAATGGTTTAAAATTTGCTCAATTGATCCAGGTATTCATACAGCCATTGATATCTCACAGGGCATGACATGGGGCATAAGTGGACTCCATGATGGGCTTTATGAAATTATTAAAACTGCTTAAGACTCCTGATTAGACAAGTGTATTTAAACTTCTGTTTTACTAAGGTATCAACCTTATATAGTACCTTACATAGGTCTTGGAGGTAATGTTTTCATTTTCTGAATTTCCAACTGAATAAGAGATTAGACATTCTTTTTCTTCTGGAACCCTAGATATAGGAATAGGATTTTAATATCCTCAATAAAAGAGCATGCCTCATATTTAATTGCGTTTTTGTCCTTTTTTAGCACTGGAAACTAAACCCAGGGGTRCTTTAACACTGAGCTATGTTACAGCCATTTTTATTTTTATGTGATCATATAAAAGAACATTTTGATTCTTGTCCTTAGAAACTATAAAGACTATACATGATTTAGAAATGGGACTGTACCAAACAACAGCCAAGAAGAATCATCCATTCTATGCCTTTTATTTTGTCTGGTCACTCAGAAATATAATGTTATCATCTATGATTGTTGTTGCTTGTCACCTCACATTATTTTTATTCATTGATTCACTATAGTCTACTTTCCCTTCCACAAAAATTTAAGAACCCTTTTCCACATACTGATATGGTATATCTCTAAGGCCTGGCTGAACACTGATATTCTATGCCATGTTGTCTTTTAACTGATATTACCCATTTGAAATTCTTCACTCTCCCGTGATTGCCACTCTCATTCGTTGATAGAGAAAATATTGTTACTGGATTTTTCCCTTCTGCTTGTCTCAGGACTGGGCCCTGACCCACTTGCCCAAGTAACTGCATGCAATTCAGAGATGTAATAGAAGTCTTCAAAACATGGCTTCTATTTTCTTTTCTTACAATTAACATTTTAGCCTTTCCTAACTAGCCTGGGAAACTTATTATTCATTTTGAGACAGGGTCTCACTAAATTACCTAGGCTAGCCTGGAATTTGCAAGCCTCCTGCCTTAATGTCCTGAGTAGCTGAGATTACAGGTGTACACCACAGTACCTGTCTCCCTTCTATTTTAAAAAATATATATTTAGTTGTAGATGGGCACAATAACTTTATTTTGTTTATTTAGTTTTTTTTTTAATGTGGTGCTGGGAATCAGATCAAACCCAGTGCCTCATGCATGCTAGGCAAGCACTCTACCACTGAGCCACAAACCCAGCCCCTCCCTTCTATTTTTGACTTTGCTTCATGCCCACCATTGAGGATGAAACATAAATGTGCACATCTTGATAATGTTCTCTGAAAACCCCATGATGTGCTCACTTTCCAATTTAGGCTAGTGTTTTCTCCTCCTCATTCCTATGTCTCACAGCTTCTATAACTCCCATACTTCCCCTAGGGAGGCCCTGCAGAACTCCAAAATGTTTCAAGAATGCTTTTTCCCCCTTCTGTATTTTATCTAGTTATTTCAAAATTAATTGATTTTTTGCAGTATTGGGGATTGAACTCAGGGGTGATTTACCACTGAGCTATTTGAAAGCATTTTGAGAAAATGCTAGGTATTTCAAAATTAATTGATTTTTTTTGTAGTATTGGGGATTGAACTCAGGGGTGATTTACCACTGAGCTACATCCTCAGCCCTTTTATTTTTTATATTTATTCATTTATTTGTTTTTTTGGTACCAGGGATTAAACTCAGGGTCACTTGACCACTGAGCCACATCCCCAACCCTATTTTGAATTTTATTTAGATACAAGGTCTCAGAGTTTCTCAGCCCCTCATTGTTGCTGAGGCTGGCTTTGAACCCCTGATCTTCCTGTCTCAGCCTCCTGAGCCATTGGGATTACAGGTGTGCACCACTGTGCCTGGCTTACTTTTTATTTTTAGACAGGGTCTCACTAAGTTTCCCAGGCTGACCTTGAACTTATGATCTTCCTGCTCCAAGAAGCTGGGATTACAGGTGTGTGCCATCATGCCTGTCAATATTTCATAATTTAGATTAACTGACCTGAGGATAGGACTGTTCAGTCTTCTTGGTACTTAACTATTCTTACAAATTAATCAGCTGGCAATCTGGCTTATAGAACAGCTTTACAAGCTTGGTCATTATAACCCTACCTCCTGAGAACTTGATGTAATTTGAGTGTGATGATCAATACAAGTTTTGAGTATGCAAAACTTTAAACTGACGAATTCACCAAAATCATGCTTCTAGTTTGCTAGTCCTAGAGACATTCTTCACTATTGCTGTGTAAGACACTGAAAAAGCAGGATTTGATCTGTAACTGAAAAAATGAATTCAAGAAAGGAGAATGTGATTATTCTAATTAGCTTTGGAATTATGGAAATGTAGAAATGAAAAAAATCTATCATTCTTCGTTTGATGCTATCAAAGTGATAGTATAACACCAAATTGGCAAACATGAAAATGGTCTACTTGACAAACAGTTCTTAGGATGAAAATGAGGATTGGTGACGTTTGCTAATTCAACTGAYTAAGCATTTATTGACCATCTACTAGGTATGAGGCATGTATTTAAGTGCTACGAAACAACTGAAGATCCTTTTGAAATTGGTTCTAAAACCTATCAATTTCCTTTTCTCTGGTAATGTAGTTGCTAAGCAACTTTCTCATATTAACCTGGCTTCTTGTGGGGGAGGTAATACATGAACAGCAGTGGCACCTGACCATTACTTTGCAAGTTCTAGTAAGGGGCAGAATCACATTGGCATTCTGATTCCAATACATGAGTTCCTTGAGTCATTGTGTGCTGGATCAGTTGCTGAGTTCTACAAGCTGAAGAGATAAAAAGCTAGATGCTGCGGCAGAGGACATGGCTTATCGGTAGATCTTTCTTGGGCTCCTAAACTTGCTTAAGGAATCTTGGGGCATTCTATAACCYACTAACTAGACCAGCATATCCAAATACTGGGCAAACCTGATGGCTAGGACTTTCAGGTAGGATGATTTTGATAAAATCAGATCAAGACATATACTTTGGCTAGAACAGAAAGGCAAATACTTTGCCTGCCTTTTCTCATTAAATACTAGTCTAGACAGAAGGGAAATTTGAATGTAGACATATGGAAAAATAAAATGATAGAGATATATGTGGATGGGAAGCATAATTCAATAGACATAGTGTTGAGAAGAGACTAAGGGAGGGGGACGAACATGATGGATAGGTACGATACAAAAATGATTTGCTTGTGTTTTTATTGTGGGGTTGCCAGCACCCTGCCAGGGTAGTTTTCTGCTCAGGAGGTGATGAGTCACCTGAGAAAAAGAAAGTCAGAAATAATTAGTTAAGAATTAAGAGCCAGAGTCAGAAAATAGGTTCTAATGGAGTACCTGATAGGTTCTCCAGTCCTGGTAGGAGCTGGAACCAAACAACTAGAAAATGGCTCCAGTCCTTTATTTAAGGGAGAGTACATCAAAGGCAGGGATAAGATTTCAGCAGGTGGAGTCTTCCTTCCTGGTGTCCTGCAGTCAACAGGTTGATTGGCATCTTGGCAAGCCACACCCATCTCTGAGAGGCTATGTGTCTATGTGGCTCCAGTGGGTCACGCCAACTCCAGTGCAGTGTTGAACTGGCAGAGCTAGATAGGATATCACATGTACTGGGTCATCTCAGACCGGCAGGAGTTCCGCTGTGAGTTCCTGGATACCAGACTTTCCTACCCAGTGGTTTCCTTGCAGATTTGGTTCATGTACAGTTCATGGATAGCTTCTGGCAGGTTTTCATATGCAGTTAATAATAGATGATTTGATTTCATCAAATTATAGAAACATTAAGAAAATGCAAGTAAATTTGCTTTCTTTAGAATCATACAGTACTTTGCAGAAATACAAGGCATAATAAGTAATATGACAAAGAGAGTGAGACAGAACTGTATAGGTCAATACCTTCTAAGCTTTTGATAACACACATCTGCCCTGTTATCTGTAGCCCACAGTGGGATTTCTGGTAAATATAGATTGTATCAAATAACACTAACCATGTACCAACAGTTCAGGGCTGTCAGGGACATGCCTTGATTTACTGGGGTTAGTACTCCTCATGCTCACCTGTCCAGAGAAATAATGAGAAAAAGTGTGCAGAAATGAAGAGACAATAAATAACAAAGGAGTTTCCTCATCTCTCAGCCAGCTTCTCTTCCTTTCCCCAGCAGCCTTCTCAGGGATCCCTTCACTTCCTTATTCCTTAGAGTATAAATGAGAGGATTCACCATGGGTGTGACCACAGAGTAGAAGAGGGAGATGAATTTGCCCTGGTCCTGGTTGCTGCTCTTAGCCGGAAGCAGATACCCATAGATGGCTGAGCCATAGAAGAGGAACACCACTACTAAATGGGAGAGGCAAGTGTTGAAGGCCTTTCGCCGCCCCTCCACAGAGCGGATTTTCAGCACRGCCTGAGCAATGAAGCAGTAGGAGATCAGGATGATACTCAGTGGGACTGCAGTGAAGAAGGTGCAGACACCATTGAGCACGGCCTCATTGAGACTTGTGTCTCCACAGGCCAGCTTGATCATGGCAGGCACCTCACACAGGAAGTTGTCTACCCTCTGGTGTCCACAGAATGGGAGCTGCAGAGTAAACGTGGACTGGATTACAGAGTTACCCAAGCCCCCCAACCAGCTCACAGCAGCCAGCAGCCAGCAGAGCCGAGGATTCATAATGGTTGTGTAGTGCAGGGGCCGGCAAACTGCCACATAGCGGTCAAATGCCATCACCACAAGTAGGATGCACTCAGTAGCCCCCAACCAAAGGAAGACATAGAGTTGGGTCACACAGCCACCATAGCTGATGGACTTGTCTGGGCCCCATAAATTGATCAGCATTTGGGGGACTGAGCTGGTAGTAAAGGCGAGGTCCAGGGAGGAGAGGTTGCTGAGGAAAAAGTACATGGGTGTGTGTAGCCGGGCATCAAGGCGGGAAAGCAGGATGATAGTTGAGTTCCCAACAAGGGTCAGCATATAAGAGAAGAGAATGATTATGAAAAAGATCATCTCCAGCTGGGGATGGTCAGAGAGACCCATCAGAATGAAGCGCTCTGAGGAGCTGTTGCTGCCCCCTTCCATCACTGGTTGCCTTCAGTCACTGGAAGACTCTGTTCAGGGAAAACTGCTGCGAGAAAAGCAAGGGAAGAAGAAGCTACTGGTGGGTCTGCTCAGGAAAGTTCCAGTGGTTATCTGGGCTCTACGGTTATGGGCCAGTCCAACTTCTATGATTGCAGTCTTTAACTGTAACCCCCAATAACTTGTCCATCACATCCGAATGTCAAATATGAGCTGGCACAGGCATGAAGACAGAACAATGAGATTAGGGCTCTTCAGAACAATGGTTACAACACATCAGAGGGAGCTGTTAGAAATAAATACATATGGAAATTCTCAAAATAAAAATTTCCCCAGCCAAGCTTTGATATGCTCAGGAAAGGGAAAGCAGACACACTGAATTTGGAAAAGCTCCCCAGAAGTTTCTGATCAGTTTCCTTTCCCTTCTTTGCTGTCCCTCTCATCTCAGGTGAAAAATCCTAATCTAGAAAGCTGAAGTTGGAGGAACAACATGATGAATCTATAAAATCATGAAAAGAATGGTAACATTGAATATAGACTCTTTCACCAAATACAGAAGATATGAATATAAGAGTTAAAAGAGGCAAATGTAGAACTTCACAAAAAGCCAAAACAAGTTTAAGTGGAACAGTTGAAGATATAAATGGGGGTTACCCCAAAAAAAGTTAAATCAGCCAACACATATCCATAATCAGTAAGGAAAACTAGAATGTGTCAGAGGAAATTCCTGACCTTTGCCATATATGACTGCTATGCCCACCTCTAAACCATGGGATAATTCTTAATGTCTCACAAATATGCTCTTGTTAACAATGGACCAATTAGTGTCTCTTTCCTTGGACAGGATATAGGCTTTCCTGAAGATCATAAACCAAGGTCCATCCTCTTCTTTTGACTAACAAATGAATCTGAGAATAAAACAGAAATAGTTTTGAGGGTCATTTGGATATGACAACTGGGAGGGAATGCTGTTTATTTTTCAGCACTGTGGTCCAAAGACAAGAGATGCTACTTAAAGCAGTGTGAGGTTGCAATTAGCTGCTTCTGGTACAGGAGGCAGGGGCCACTGGGCCATACCTCTTGGCTAAGAATCCCAGGAATTTTCCTTTTCATCAACACACAACAAAAATAGTGGAGATCCTGATGCTAGAATCCAAAGGAGTTAAGAAAGGAAATTCCTTTCAAATGTTTGCTTTTAAGTCAGTAGTTGAGTACTTCCACAGAGTCAGGGATAATGACTGACAGAGGGTGTTCCAACCTCCCTCTGACCCCCCCACAAAGGAAGAGAGGATTGCTTATTCTTTTCATCCAGAACCTAAGAGAGCCATGGATTAAGTAACCAGCCTTATAATCAACTCATCTTTCTGTTCCGAAGTTCTTGCTGATGCCTGTCTTACTAATTGCTGCTGGTTGAGGTGCCCAGCCCTTTGAATCCCTTTAGAGGAAAGAAAGACAGGCACTGCTGCCCATCCTCCCCGCRTTGCTCATTCTGCATGGCTTGTGCTCCCTGGATGTCCAGCAGTGCCACAGTTCCTGTCAGTCCCTGCTTTGTGTCTTCCAAGCAGTTTTTAGCTAAGGAATAAACATGCCAAAATGGGAACAGAAAGACCATTTCTAGGGTGGAGAAGCTGTTCCATGAGCTCTAGAGGAAGCACCAGAGCAGCTGGACTCCTGGCCTGAGCTGGACAAATCCCCAAGCGAACACAATGATAACCACAAGCTTGTGTTCATCAACTCCACGGACATTTGGGGCCTTTTCTTTCCCTTGAAATTTCCTGGTTCTCTCTAATCATCTGGGAGTTTTCAGTTAACCCAGAAGCATTGACATTTTAGAAAGAGTTCAGAAAGGGTGATRCTGAACTTTCCACCCTGCATGGGCATGCAGTTTGGGCATGGAAGCCCAAGGTGGAGGATTTTTAGGAATTACTCACCTGGTGCACAGATGGCTCTAACATTTACCTGTCTGTAAGTTTACTTGGGAAGTTTGGGATGTTCCTTCCAGTTAATATTTTCACTGTTCTGATATGATTTTAAACACCTGAGCTTGCTGGAAACAAACAAACAAACAAAATAAATAAATAAACAAGCAAACAAATAAATAATTAAAATTAGAAAGCAGGAGAAGCTGTTACAACTTTGTGAGATTTTGACTTGATGACATAGTGGTAAATTCTTTCTGCTTAGGAATTGACCTGCCTGTAGGCACTGAACTCTGCTTAAGATTTTCTGCATGAGGATTCTGTTCCTAGGACAGGGTTGTGCATACAAAAAGGGTTTTTTCGATGGTTAGTTTGGGTTTTGTTTTATTTTGATACTGGATACTGAACCCAGGGACATATCACAAGCTACAGCCCCAGTCCTTTTTTTWAATATATTTTTTGGAGAAAGAGAAAAATTTTTAATATTTATTTTTTACTTTTTGGTGGACACAACATCTTTGTTTTATTTTTATGTGGTGCTGAGAATCAAACCCAGTGCCCCACGCATGCCAGGCGAGCACATTACCACTTAAGCCACATCCCCAGCCCAGCCCCAGTCCTTTTTACTTTTCATTTAAAGACAGGGTCTTGCTAAGTTGCTGAGGCTGGCCTCAGACATGTGATCTCTTGCCTTAGCCTCCCAAGTACTGGGATTACAGGTATGCACCACTGTGCTAGGCAGGTTGGGGTTTTAAAGTCAGATTAAGAAATACACATTTTGTCTGGGGGCTGTGGCTGTGACTCAGTGGTAGCACACTGGCCTGGCATGTGTGAGGCACTGGGTTTGATTCTCAGCACTGCATGTAAATAAGTAAAATAATGGTCTACCAACAACTAAAAATATATTTAAAAAAACAACAACAACAACAAAAGAAATGCCCATCTTGTCTCCTGGATTCTCTTACAAATGACTTTTGTTAAGGGGTTCTTAAGATATTATAAAACTTCTTTCACCTGTTGGATTTTTTTTCTTCCCATTTTGCCTCCTTGCTGATGAAGAAGGTCATGAGTCTATCAGAGCTTGTGGCTCTAATATCACACAGCCCTAAAGGAAGAACACAAAGCAGAATATTTTTTTAAATTTAATTTAATTTTTTTAAAGAGAGAGTGAGAGAGGAGAGAGAGAGAGAGAGAGAGGAGAGAGAGAGAATTTTTAATATTTTTTAGTTCTCGGTGGACACAACATCTTTGTTGGTATGTGGTGCTGAGGATTGAACCCAGGCCGCACGCATGCCAGGTGAGCGCACTACCACTTGAGCCACATCCCCAGCCCAGAAAGCAGAATATTTGAAAGACCTTTAACACTCTCCCTTTTGCTCCCCTTTCCTTGTATTCACTCTCCCTTTGCCTCTCCCTTATGCTCTCTGTTCTTCAATAATGAAATCTAGGAAGTGTTTATGGAACTATACCTTTGGCTTCAGGATTCCCGCGTTGTTCCTCTGCCCAATGCTTGGTATATGGAGAAGTCAAGTGTGGGACTTGGAGCAGGTGTTGTAGGCACTGTCCTCCTGTGCCGAGCAGCTACTGTTGTTGGTCCTGACCCTCTGAGCAGCCTGGATCTGCTGCCCAGATGCCTGGTTCTCAGCAGGGCCCAAGGGGGGATTTCAGCCCTCTCACCCCTATCATGCAATTAGCACAAAAGGCCCTAGTGGCCAGGACACAGGAAAATGGTGTCCCTGAAGAACACACTTCGTCTTCTATTTGGACTCCCTCCCTGATCACAGAGCACTAATTGAACTAGAAGTAAGAATAGTTGCATTCATTAAATACTCACTGTGTATATATTTTGTTCTTTTCACCTGTTTACATGCTAGCTAACTTAGTTCTTAAAACATTTTTTACAGCAGAGGGGTCAGGTCTATTATCCCCCATGCACAGGAGTGGACCAAGAATGAAGTGACCATGTGACTTGACTGGTGTTAGACAGGTGTGGCCCAGAGGTGGCTCTTCGCACCAGGTAGAAGCCAGCTATCCTGTGCAAAGGGAGAGACTGTTTTGACTCTTCATCTATAAGATATCTCTTTGAATTTTAGCTCTTTTTGTGGGGTGAGGGCAGAGAAAGGAGGCCCTCTATCTTGTTCCTAACAAAACCATAAATAGGGACATGAAACTTAGATACTTACTTATCATTACAGTGCTGTATGAAAAGCAAATTTACAACCACTTCTAAACAAATGCATAGGAGGAAACTGGCGAACTGGTAGRGCATTAGATGTTACAGAAAATGAGTAATCCCCTAAATAGCTGACTTAGAAACCTCATTCATTGGAGAAATAGATACTTACCTGAGGATGTAGCTTAGTGGTAGACTCTAGATGTTGGAGGCCCTAGGTTCAATCCCCAGTGCTGAACAAACAAAAACTGGACCCAAAGAATATACAGTGTGCCAGGCATTGGCAAGACTGGCCTGATACCTGCCCAGTGGGGCTCTCCTTCCAGTGGGCAGACTCCAAACATTCTCTCATGATGGTGAGCACCACCTGGTAGCTTGTGCTGCATGCCAGACACTGTACTCAGCAGTTCACAAACATGATCACAATCACCATGCCAGATAAACATTATTCTTCCTGTTGTACAAGAGAGGAAATAAGGTTGAAAGGCATTAACTAACTTGACCAAAGGCAAAAGGCTAGTAAATGCAGAGCCTCTAATATGGGTCTATTTGACTTCAAATCCATCCTGAGGAGAGACTAGAGAATCTCAATGTCCAGCCGCTGGGAAATTCAGCAAGTCATGGCACCTCTATGAATTCTTGCACACGTCGTTATCATTGGTTCCTGCAAGACTTCTCTTATTTAAATATTTTGTTAATTTTTTTACTCTATTCCCAATCTCATTGACATTCTTCTCCACACTCCCATAGGTACCTACTCTAATGTGTTTAATATACCAGTGTTTGGATATATATGTATCCTTATAAAATACAAAATACTGCTTTGTGCATGCAAGTTTTAAAATTTACCTCAATGTACTGTGCCATAGCTCTTTCTGTTTCTTCCCTTTTAATGCCCTTTTTATAACTTT